GTCCAATAGTTGCGCCTTCCTTGTCCAACGACAGTTTAATGGTTTTCTAGTCCAATAGTTGCGCCTTCCTTGTCCAACAACAGTTTAATGGTTTCCCTGTCCAATAGTTGCGCCTTCCTTGTCCAACAACAGTAACTAATGGTCCAATCTTTTCTTGTCCAACGACAGTTTAATGGTTTTCTCGTGCAATAGTTGCGCTTCCATTTTCAATGCTTTTGCATATTTGCTGCAACACATGATAAACGCCGCTTTTCCCCCGCTAGCATTGCAAAAGTAAAAGCAACAACGATTCTAAGATTGCGATGCCAATTTGAAATTAGAATTTGTAGGATATATATTATACATAAGAGTATTTCCAAAGCAAGACCAGCTACGAGAATAACAAGGTTTTTAACCAATAAAATTTGCCGAGTTCCTTCGAGGCACCTGCGTGGTGGTATCCGACCAAACCACTTATCTCGCATACCTTCATTAACTCCGTATTGCAAAAGACGTGTCTGTTGATTGGATTAGAAAACTGAATACTTTAACAAGTGAAACATTCCCCTAGTTTAGTGTCTAGTAAGCTAAGATGAATGATTGTCTTTTCCACAGTAAAATGCCATCAATGTACCATGAACATTGCACTAAACCAGGCCCAAAAAGCAATGAATATGTCCCGCCACCCGAAGCAAGAATATTCAAATCAAGAAGTGCTCCAAACTCGCCTTGTTTTGAAAGAAAGCCGTTATTTCCTCGCTCACCACGTCTTTCAAGGTCCCCAAAGCTCACACGAAGCTCAACGCTACAAGCAACTTGTAAAAGACAATCCGAAAAACTCCGAGAGAATAAAATTCCACGGAATCACGTCCATTCGGCGACTAATCATCGGGTTGGCCGAAGCAAGTCTTTTAGCTCAAAAAGTAAGTAGCTCAATTTTTCAAGATACGATTGAGACATATATAATTTGCTCAAAAGATGATCTAAAAAAGCCTTTAAAATTGCCTCCTAGGCTTTTAAATATATCCTAGATATTTAAAAACTGTATATTTTTTACTTTGATTTCAATTCGTTCTCTAAATTTTACGCAAATTCTTTATTAATTAAACGAGAATTATATTTTTAACAACAAAAATACCAATTAATGTTAAAAAGTACAAAGTTGAGTATTGTTTTCAAAAACGTTAAAAGAATCCAATATTGCAGTTTCGAATTCTCTGTTCTACGGGTTTAGCCTTCATTTCGTATAGAATTACTTCATATAATCATGTGTTCTTGTGAAAGTCCACAGAATTTCAAAGTGTCTGTATTGTTGAAGCTGTGCATTCGTTACTTTACCATTGGTATTTGTGAATATTTGGACACTCAAATGAGCTAACCCGGGATGTATAAACAAGTCTGTGATCAAGGACCTTAGCTCGTTTTTGACTAATTCGAAAATGATATATAGCCATCTTTTGCTTTGGCGTAATATTTTCGCACTTCAGACCACGTGTCATTCCCTAGAAAACATCATTCTTTGTTTAAGTTGTAGTTCTAATGCGAAACACGTTAAACAAAGAAGTAATACTCTAGGGAATGACACGTGGTGTGAAATGGGAAACAGCGAAAAGATGCATTAGCAATTTTAGATGTTTTTTGATACTTTTACTTTGTACGAGTTAGCATACATTATACTGTGGTCTGTTGGTTGAGCCAAATTTCTTAATATAAATCTCCGGATCCATCAATGTTGTACTTTCTGTATAATTGCGACATTTAAAAAAGATTACAGGAAATCTCGAGGGAAAACAGCAAAATATTTTATAAAATCAGAAAAATACCCTAAATATTTTTGGTTCGCCCGATGATTTCGAATATTTCAATTTTGCAAATTGCCACAGTTTTTCTGGACAAAACAAATTCAGAAAAAGATTTGAAAAAATCAACATTTCTTTGGTAAACTCTTTCTAGCTTGGTGGCTATGGTAAGATCGCTAGGACTGTACATGGTAAGCAAGAGTAAATGAAGGAAGACTTTATTTTCTCTTGCTGTAAGCTGTTTTTATTCAGTTTTTTTCCCCGAGTTAATTTTTGTTGTTTTTGTCGAAAACTGGTTCTTGGCAAAAATTCCAAACATAAGCCGCCAAACCCACAGGTTAATCCAGCTTATCCACTTTGACGAGCAAAGCAAAGTAATAATTTGAATACATAAAGTTCTGTAAATCCAAAGGTTATATGAAAGATTTATTTCCAAAATCTTAGCAAAACCTACAAAATTTTAGCAAAATGTATTTACTTGGGTTACCAGTGCCCCCCCCTCACCCCTCCCTTCTCCCTTGATATCGATCCCAGCTGTTTAGCGTGACGTCACTCAGTGTTATTCTATCCACGGTTTGTTCAGTCATGGTATCGTGTTCAACAACCAGATGCAAGTGTTTGGGTTAACCCAACTTTCCCACCTCAGGAATGACTGAATGCCACAAATGTGGAAAGTTAGTTTACTTTGGTAAGCTTTAACAACCTTTGCACTAACCCTACGACCCAAAATTACTAGGATTTTTGAAGTTAATAACTTAATTTCTCGCTATTTGTTGTGACATGTCAAAACCAAAATGGTAGCTTGGATTCAATCTATCGGGTTTTCCCTTGTTTTTCCCGCTTCCTGAACACTTTCTAAGCCTTTTGAAGCTCTTTTTATCCAAAAACAAAACAGTCTTTGCTTTGTTTTAATGCTTGATTTTTTTAAATTAAATCTAAAGCTGAACAGAAGAATTCTTTGGGAAAAGTTTGGCACCCCTCGTGTCTGAGATGCGAAGAATGTGGAAAAAGACTCAACCCTGGTCAACATTCTGAGGTAAATATTCGCTTTAAAAGACATAAAAACCCTATCTTCACATTAAGATACATAATAATTTTGTATATTTAATGTTCCATAAAGTAAAAGGCTTTGAATTTAGCGCAAATTTGAGCCGAATTGTCGACCAAATGCAAAGGGTTGTTTACTCCACGTATGTAAATGAGAGACAAAACCGCGTCTAGTTTACAAATGGCTTCGAAAATTCGTTCAAAAATCTTGATTTTTTTCATGATTTACGACTTCGGAATCTTTTTCAGTAGAATGAAAAACCCAACAGGTGAATTATATCTTTCAAAATTGTATAAATGTCGAACAAGTGCTGTATTTGCAAATATACTGTAGTTTCCAAATATTGATTTATATAAACACAAGCGACGTCTTGATTTAATATTTGAACCCTAAAAGCTAAGCGCGGGGAAAAAACCTTCTTATTTTATTGAAATCCCTATAACAATAATGCATTTATGAACTAGCTGCAGTTGAATTTAATTTTAGAATATTTTTTTGCTTGAAGTTTGTATTTTCAATAGAAAAACATTTTTACTTTATATTCTACATTCCATTGATGAACTTGCTGCTAAAAATAATTAATATTAATCGGTAAAGGTTAAAATCAAAATATTTGAAATTTTGGGGTTTAGAACCTTTGCTTTCAACCCCAAGATCACTGAATATATACTCAAAAATTCTTTTGAATTATTTTGAAGCAGAGAGTGTAAAAGATAGGAATCAAATTTATTCTAACAGGAACCATTAATCTACAGATCATAAGATTAAGGAACAATGGCAAACAATGTTTTATATAATCTGATTGACGCATTTATAGAAAAGCCACTAAGCTGTTGCCGTCTGTTTGAGGGTATTATAGTATGTGTGTACTGTATACATATATATAACCTTTTAGCTTTGGTTTTAGAATAAGCCGCATAATGGGTTTTCAATTATCTATTTTTATTTTTAGAATGGAATTAATACATTTTGTTTGTCAACGCATATGAATAATAATGATTCAGTTCCTAATATAATTGTATTTTTCTGTTGCTTTGAATTGCTGGGAAAATATTTTATGCTTTAAATGCATACTTACAAAAAGTTTAAAATATCTTAGTGTCTGTATTACAGTATGCTGTATGCTAGCTACAGTACCATGATACTGCTGCGTGTTTGGGAAGATTGTTGGTCAGTTGTGTGGGAGGTCATGGTTTGAGTCCTGGCCAGACCAACTTGCAACAAAGTTATGACTAACTTTTTTATTTGTCTGGCTTGTAAACATTCTTTTTTGTCCTATTATTATTGATATTAATCAAAAGTGAATGTGACATGTGTGATTGCATGTGTTTGTTTATATTATTTATAGCTATAGCCTAGACAGAACGGTTCATCAGATTAATCATTGAAAGATTACATTAAAGGTCATTCAAAGATACATTCTTTTCAATGGTGTCTAAAAATAAATGCATTAATTTATGCTACGTAGCGCTGTTTGGCATAACTGACCAGCTTTGATGTGCCTAAAGCTGATAACTATTAAAATACTATTGATATTATGAATTCTTTTTGCAAATTTAAGATATTTAAGTAATATATACAATATGAGTAGCTGTGTTGTATCAAAAATAGAACCACAAGCCGAAGGCGAGTGATTGTATATCTGATACAACATGGACACGAATATTGTATATAACTTATGAAACGTCTAGGTGTATACATTCATGTTCTACTATAATTTTAAAGATAAAATTGAATTTGGCTAAGAAAATTGGAGTTAAAGTTTATGCAAATCAGGACGATTTTGTATCAGATATACAACCTCCTCCACGGACAATGATGTCTATTGTGTTTTCCTCATTAATTATTCATGAGTTTTATAATAATAGTTATTGTTAAACAAGAAGATTTAAACTGATAAGAATGTTTGTCTGTTTTTTTGTCTGTCTTCTGCGTAATCTGACTGAAAGATCAGAGACAGACAATAATATTATGATGGAAATGATAAACAGACAAAAATCAAACAAGCCAGAAGTCAGACAAGCACGCTAAGCCTACTAACTAAAGAACACCGAAAAAACATTTGAGTTTTGAAGAGTCTAATAATTAGTATATGCAATAGGACTCCATGATGTCCAAGTAAGAAATAATTGGATGAGGAAAATTCCGAGGACTGACAAAATTAGATGAGGCCGTAGGCGGAGTCCAATTTGGCAGTCAGAGGAATTTTTCGAGTCTAATTATTTCTCGATTGGGGAGCATGAAATCCCATTACCTATTAATTATATTTCTGCCTAATTAATCCCATATCAATCCAACAAGACCTGTCCAATTAAGAAAATAATTGGACAGTTACCTATATGGGATTAATGAGATGCTGTATAATTATTATTTTAAGCGAATAAACATATAACAATAACATGGTGTAATTTAAAAATTGTATTCCTCTATAAATATATATTTTTATGTGTATAGAATATTTATGAAATATATATTTGTACTGCAGTTGTAATGTATCAAATTGAGCTGATCCTCGCAGTATATAAAGCAATTTATGCAGCTGCAAATTGAGAGACTTGGAAAAAAAATTCTTAAACAAGACTCGAAATTTTTTCTGAGTCTTTCAATTTGCAGCTTCATAAGTTGCTTCATATACTATAAGATCAGCTCAATTTGATATGTAGTTTTTAGTTAGGTTCCTTTATCCCAAGTCCAGTCCTTGTCCAGTTCATTTTTCATACCAATGCAAATCCCTCACATCCTTTCTTGTTCATGCAAATGTTTTTTTAGTCATAACTAATAATAGCACGGTTTAGACTAGAACACTTCAAAGGCCACATGTATGTTATTGATCAATGGACACAGAAGTTTTTCTGTTTCTTCGGCAGTTAGTTCCTTATGACTTGTCTATTTGGGTGGTAAGAAAATAATTTTTAATTCTTTTAAAGTTAAATACGAAATAATATTTTTTCATACAAACAAATATTTCTTTTATTTGCATAAAAAAGTCATCCATTGAATCTCAGTTTATAACATTGTGTTGTTCTTACTGTAAATTATTGTGAACTGAGCTACATGCATTATAAAAACGAAAATTAAATGACATTTCAACGTCTGACCATTTTTTAATCCTTCACAATCAATTTACTTTCTGATTTCTATCTGTACATGTAGATTTTTTGTTTCTATTCATGACTAGAAAATGAGCAGTAATCTTAATGTTTGTGCTTTTAAACTGTTTTCATAAACATTTAGTGCTAAAAATAACACATAACAACAATAATGACTGTACTCAGAGTAATAAATGGAGTTATTTTAGGTGACAAAACATTTTATTACAACATAAAACCTACATACAATATACCAGTTTTTGTTATCATGGTGAATAACATATTTTTTAATTCCACTGTTTAAGAGTTCTATCATTCCTGTTATTAAAGCTCCATAAACCGATGATGTTCTAACAGAAAATTACTAATTAAGGTTTATTTTGAATATTAAACAGACCATTTTTATTCAAAGGTGCGAGTATTTTTCTGATGATAGAATTTTATAAGTAACTTATGAAATAGTCCCTATTCAGCATTTGTGACCCTATTTGCGAAGACCAGACTTAAGGAAATTTGCGTTAAGATGCATTTTTCAACGCATTCTGAATGAATCGCAGTGCACGGTATTCGATGCGTTCCAACGATCTGATAAAACGTTGAAATGAATGAGAGAATATTAATCAATGCGTTGACAATGCTCTACAACAATCTGATAAAACAGGAATGTTCATAATGCGTTGCCAACGTTCGCCAACGATCTGAAAGAATGTTGAAATGCATTTGGAATACTTGCCTCAATGCATTGGGGATGTTCTAATAATGTTTCGAAATGCATTGGAAACATCCACCAACAATCTAACAGAACGTTCAAAGGCCCAAAATGCATTTAAATGAATTATTAAGACAAGACAAATTTCCTTAAGCCCGGTTTTTGCAAATAGGGTCACATTTCTCAACATATTATTTCACAGACTTTAAAATCAATCATACTCTTTTTCTTATCTTGGTTTTGGTCTGTGTGTTATTTTTAAGTTTTTTTTTTGCTAAGCCACAAATGCTAAGAGGTTTTTATTTTGCCCATAAAATACATAGAGGATATGACAATCATGGGCGCGTGGAGATACGAAATTTATCTTCTTGTGTTGAAAAGATCTCTCACGATTGAGCGCAGCAAAAGAGTGAGAGATTTTCAACACGAGAAGGTAAATTTCATATCTCCAAGCGCCCATGTAATATTCTGTTTATTATATAATTAACCATAAAATCAACTTAACAAGCTTTTTATTATTATAAAAAGTATTTATTTATAAACTAATAGCTTAAATAAACAGATTGAACAATATTTTCACATGTGAAAATATCAGTTTTTCAAAAAGGAGAAATATAGTTTTTTTATGGATAATTATATGATAAATAATTATTAGACATTGGTCCTTGACATAAGTAGACAATAGACTGTTTTCTCAAGGTTGGGTGCGCATCCAACTCGATGGGCCACAAACTAAAAAAAACACAAAAATTCAGTAAAATTGAGAAGCCACTTTTATATTTAATGGTTGAGCATAATTAATTTAATGATTTCTAAAAAATATCATAGCAATGTATGATAATACTCATCATGAAGCTCATGTTCTGGTATCGTGGCCTGTCAATTTCCTTAAATTTGAATGCGCATGCAACTTTGAGAAAACGGTCAATAAAGGAGTTTTATTATATGACTGCGAATCTTAGAGCCTGGACACTAGCAAATCGACCAATCTGATTGGATAGATCGCATCGCAGACTGGTCAAGATTCTCCGGTATTAACCGGTCCAATCACATATTAATCTTACGGCGAAAGCATTTTGTCCTTTTCAATGAAAAGTGGTCATCTAATAAAACTCTCGGTTGGGTACATACCTTGCTGCGCTCGGTCTGTACATTCCGTCCTCGGTCAAGATTATCCCGTACAGACCTCCCGCTCAGTTAATAAGATCTAAATATTTGAAGTTAGGTTTCATTATTTTGTTTAGAATTTGTTGTCTCTGACTTAAAAAAAGCTTGGTGAGAGGCGGTACATTATATGCATAAACCCATGTTCCACTAGGACTTAAATTTATAAACTAAGTATTTGACATCCTCACAGCATAGAGGAATACCCTACTGTAACATCCCTTGCTACAGTTTCTTGTATATACTAAGTGTATGATATCCCCACAGCATAGAGGAATACCCTACTGCAACATCCCTTACTACAGTTTCTTGTTTATTACTAAGTGTTTGATATCCCCA